TATACTAATATTATAAATATTTTTATTATTTGTTAAAATAATTTACACTTATGAAGGACCAAATGAAGTCGAGAGAATTTTGTAATATATCGAATAAAATAGAAAATGCTGAGTTTCAGATGTATTCATCACGATGGGCTAAGCGTGTATTATTATATATAGATAGCGCCTATTATAATATATATATATGTAAAAAATGCAATTTAAAAAAAATCAAGTCTTCCACGCATGCATATAACCTGAAATATTATTTATTAATTTTATAATATATTACACAAATTTATAATATATATATATATATATATATATATATATATATATATATATATATATATATATTTGCATTACTTACAGCACATAAATAACAACATACGTACACAGTAACAAGAAATAAAAAAATGCATATACAAAAAAAAGCAAAATATATAAACAAGTAACATTTTTTTTCTTTCATGCGTGTGCCATAGTAACAATAACTAAGAAGTGTAATGTATAATTCAGAATTGTAATTTTCAGACATTCAAAATTTCAAGCATAACGTGAATGTTGCCTACAGTCGTGGTCACTCTCATTGGCAATAAAGAATATATAAAATATATTTTTTATTGCACTTGTAAGTTACATATAAAATAATGTATTAATATTTTTTTAAATATACTTATCGTATATTATTAAAAATATCTATGTAGATATTTTTTTATTCAATATCAAATTGCCAACAATATGTCAGCCCACCTGATAGAAAATGATAACCGCCACGTGTAGACATGAACAGCGCCTTGGGCATCACAGTAAATACTATAACACCCACGCTTAACACCCACAACTCCTCTAATATGTTCCATGAAATTTATTATATTCAAAATTATTAAATTGACTCAGAAAATGAATCTGTGTTATTAGAGAAATCACTGATGGATATCGAGCTATAGGTAGGAGATTGAATATATGTAAACTCTATACAGAAATAACGTCGGTATAAACCGGCTATATTTATGTGACATCAAAATTATTTTTATTGGAGAAATTTATTTATTTATTTATAAATTAATTTTATTATTTATTTTTCTCGCACTGTATAACTATGTTAAAGTGAATGCTGTGAATACCTATAATAGGCATGTGCATTAATATTGTATTATATTTAATGTTTGTCATACCTATATGTTATAATGCAATATGCTGTTGGTGTTCCTTAAATAAATAAATAAAATAAAATGCTTAGAAATAAATTAATAGTAAACAAAGCTGAGCTTAAACTATGGATACTCGACAACTAATATAAATACTTTTTTTTTCTGTAAATTATACATAGCAAGTAACAGTAATAAGAATTATATTGCTCTATGACAACGAATTAAGACGTTATATATATATATATATATATATATATATATATATATATATATATATATATATATATATATATATATATATATATATATATATATATATATATATTTTATCTATTTATAAACAAAAATTTGTATTCGAATGTCATAGTAGATACAATAATTTCATACAGTACATAAAGTATAAATTAAATTAAGCATAAAACAAATATTACAGTCATCTCTTAACATAAACAATATATATATATATATATATATTCAAATTTACTATAATTAGAATTCGTCAATTGAGTACGGACACCTTTCTAGCAATATTGCCATTATGTATGTTATTATATAGAAGGATAAGCAAACTGAAGTCGCAGTGGGCTAGTCATATAGCTCGAAGAATTGGCAACCGGTAGGAAAGAAAAGTTCTTAAGTGGCGACCCGTACAGGCAAACGTAGTTTAGGACAATCCCCACTGGATGGAGTGACGACCTCAAATTCATTGTAGGGAGTTAGTGAATGCAGGTGGCTCAGAACCATTCCTTTTCGCAGTCTATGGGGAGGCCTATGTTCAACAGTGGACAGATAATGGTCGAAATAATGATGAAGTAATAAGCAGACAAAAACAAACAGATATATTTATGAATACAAATGTTTGTTTTGTTCAAGGATCGAACCTTCAACCGTCAGAAGATAAAGCCAATGTGTTAAGCCACTAGAACACCGAAGTCGTCAAAGAAATTCAACCCAGAATGGCGGCACAGATCATAACTATCCCAACACATTTATAATCCCTGCATTTTCTGTGGGTAGCAGGCGAACATTGCGCATATTCAGCCACTAGCTGGCGATCAGCCAATACGGCTCTGTACCACTTGCCAACATTTACGCGAACCTCAAAAGTAATGTTCTATCAAATTTTAAACTGAAATTGCCAATAAATATCCAATGTGTTCCAAAGAGGACGAATAAGAAAAGGTAAAACTTGTAAATTTATATACATGTACTAGGGTTCACAAACTTCTCATTTCGAGACTTTGTACAAAAGTCGATTGCTTGAGTACCTCTGTCCCATTCGTGTTTCGACCGTGAAGCAGTTGTGTTTGCATGGCTGTGTTTCAGTTTGAAGGGTGGGATATGACGTGAATTTACTGGGTACAGAGGAATAACATCTAAGTCCTCAGGAATGGCAACGCATGGGGGGTATCATGGGCGAAACAGTATTCTCTGTTATGTTCATGGTACTGCTCATGTCTATAGGCGACGGTTACCACTTTCCATCAGGTGGGCCGGCAGCTTGTTTGCCATTCTAAGTTGTGTAAAAAAAATAGAAACTGTAAAACAAATAAGACTTTAAGCACAATAAAACCATAACAATAATCCTTATTTTTGTGGTAGAGCTTTAAATATTAATTTGGCACAATTTGGTAACAATATGCAGTGTGGTCCCAGCATATTGTTACCTCTTCCATTCCAGTGGGAGACGACTAAGCAATACAAAGTGGACAAAGGTATACCATGTACCATGTGTACTACTTTATAGTACACATGGCACATGGTATACCTTTGTCCACTTTGTATTGCTACTTAGTGGTATCTGCGTTAGGGGGGAAGGGATTGTTAGTAATGCGGACTACCAATCCTATTGCTAGCAATATATCCTCTCAGGTCGACCACCACGTTGTCCCCCCTTGAAACCATCGTGCTGAATTACAGATGTATTCATCACGATGGGCTAACTGACCTACTTTTTCATTCCCATTTATCATCCCTAACTGGTACCCTGCCAGCGTATACTATTAGCGTAAGCGGGGTTACCATACCATTAACATAAATTTGGCATGGGGGTATCATGAGCGAAACAGTATACTCTGTTATGTCCATGGTACTACTCATGTCTATAGGCGACGGTTATCACTTTCCATCAGGTGGACCGTCAGTTTGTTTGCCATTCTAAGTTGTATAATAAATAATTTATAAATGCCTGTATAATGAATTGTTGAAATTAAGTACCTATTGCTTATATCGTAAACAGAAATAAGTCCATATTCATTTTAGAAGAACTTGTTAAATTATTAGCAAATATGGCCTTTTCTCTAATTTTATATAAGTATATATTCGAGTAATATAATTTCGTTTACAAGGGAAACATAAAATCAAATATTTGGTCACGAGGTAATGTTATTCGATGTATTTTCTTAACGGTTCTTGTAAAAGGCAAGTTTTTATAGCAATAAATTATATCTAAAAATATTATTAGACAAAACATTATATTATTTAGTTAGGATAGTAAAATAATGATATGTTCAACAAAGGCCTATTATCCTTATATAGTTTGAAATCAAAATAATAGGTATTCTTTTAAAGAACTGTAGTACAGTTTTATTCATAAAATTCCTCTTTTTACTACTACTAGTCTTTTCAAAGAGATTTCACGCCGGCTAGTTGAAACTTCTGGTGACCAGAAGGCTGGCCTCTAGTTTGGTCAACGCATCTCCATAGCTATTCAGCATGGAGATGCAGCAAGTCAAGTAAGCAATTTTACCAAAGGGAGACTTTGTACAAAAGTCGATTGCTTCGGTACCTCTGTCCCATTCGTGTTTCAACCGTAAAGCAGTTGTGTTTACATGGCTGCGTTTCGGTTTGAAGGGTGGGATATGGCGTGAATTTACTGGGTACAGAGGAATAACACCTGAGTCCTCAGGAATGGCAACACATGGGGGTATAATGGGCGAAAGAGTATACTCTGTTATGTCCATGGTACTGCTCATGTCTATAGGCGACGGTTACCACTTTCCATCAGGTGGGCCGTCAGCTTGTTTGCCATTCTAAGTTGTATAAAAAAAAGTCTCCTAGGTACCCTACCAGTTAGTAGTGATCTCAAAGATTTTTTTTTATGTTTAAGTAATTTTTTATGGTTTGGTTTTTTTATATGTATAGTACGTAGATGTAAGATGTGTATATAATAGATAGATTATATTTTTCAAATATTTTTGTATGTGTTTGATATAAGATCTTCTAAAAGAGTTTATAGTACAGTAAAATAAATTTTTGAAATTTATTTTTATATTTAAATTTTATTTTTAAGCTTCAAGAGTTCTTCAGCTAAGACGTCAAATTGCACTATAGAACGTTTAAAATTGTTAAGTCACCGTGTAGCTCCCGACATAGAATGGGCCACCACTTCTTTTCCTGTGGGTGTCGTAAAAGGCGACTAAGGGAACTTAATGATCGAGAAATAGGCAGCAGCGTTCTTAAAATACCACCTACAAACTTAACAGCGGTTGCCAACCCGCCTACCATGCGTAGCAACTACTAACAATACCCCCTTATGGGGAGGCCTACTCGTATGTCCAGCAGTGAACAGTTAACGGCTAACATGACGATTATGATGGTTCAAATATTTCTTTACAATATATGTATAAATACTGATTATTAATGAAAGAAGAAGAAAGACATATCTTTATTCAAGTAAACTTAAATTTAAGCATTTTTGAACAGTAATTTTTTTTCATTACCACCCATTCGTAATGCAATTTCAGCCAAGAAGAACGGACAAGAAACTCAGCTGTTATTTGTTTTTTCTATAAGTCTAATTATATAAATAATTAATTTATAAAAAATGTTTATACTCGTATATGAAATCCAATATTCACTCACCCAATTGCAATTTTTGATGCGTTGGACTACCTGAAAAGAAAATATTAATTATAATAATTAGAAAACATAGGAATTTATCAATTTTACATATATACTAATGCCAATATATAGATATAACCTAAATTATTAAATTACTTAAGCAATCATTTATTACGATTTGTGCAATGATACATACTTAGTGTTAAAAATAAACCTTTATAGGCATTGGTATTTTTTTTAAATGAAAAACAATCAAGTCGGCGTGTTTTCCATTCTAAGTTGCAAAAAAAGAAGACCGACAAAATTTTCTAAAAATTATAGTATCGACTCCTATTGTTCTTATTAATTTATTTCATTTATTTATTTATTAAACACGAGAAATATACAACATGAGTACATTGAACCCAGCACTAGGCGAACCTGTATCGCGGGAGTCCATAAGGGATTACAAAGACACAGACAGACACAAGGATTATTAGGACTCCTCGTTTTAATTTATCTCAAATATTTCCCACATACAGACATCGTCTAGTAACATTTTTATTATGTTATTAAAATAAAATAAAATAATGAAGTTCCATCAGGAGGTCACAACACGAACAATTAATTAAACCATATCAATAACAAATAGATTTCAAAATTGATTCGATACTGGCAAAAATATCGAATAAAATTAACACAAAAAAAATAAAGGTGAATTCAAATCTCTACCTGTTGGAGCCTAAAAATAGAAGGGAAGATAATTATGAGCCTTTATTGAAACGTAAGATGATTGATTAGATCAAGACGAAAAACAATAACAATATAAACACAAATACACTGACGTAGGTATATTTCTCTGCGTAATCAAGATCCTGGCTTCAATTCTCAGGCGGACTAATTAAAATAACAATTTTTTCGATTCTCTTTAAAGAACTCAGAATGGCAAACAAGCTGACGGTCCACTTGATGGAAAGTGGTAGCCGTCGCCTATAGACATGATCAGTACCATGGACATAACAGAGTATTCTATTTCGCCCACGATACCCCCCATGAGTTGCCATTCCTGAGGACTCAGATGTTATTCCTCTGTACCCTGTAAATTCACTGCCATATTCCACCTTTTAAATCGAAACACAGCCATGCAAACACAACTGCTTTACGGTAGAAACAAGAAGAGAATGTATAAAATGATAACAGTTATCTATAGATAAGAACAGTACCATGCATATCATGCATTGCCATTCCAAAAGACTAAGACCCTTGAAAACGGGATTTTCGGGTTTGAATTTTCTTTTGTGACCTCATATATTCACTGTCTTGTTTTTTATAACATAACGAAGTATCCTGATTATAGAACCGAGCTTTTATGTGGCGTATATCAACTATACCTAAACAGTTTCATGTTAGTATCTATAGTAATTTTACTAATGTAATCATTATCATCATATCAGTTTGTAACTTTTACCAGAGGGAGACTTTGTACAAAAGTCGATTGCTTGGGTACCTCTGTCCAATTCGTGTTTCTACTGTGAAGCAGTTGTTTGCATGGCTGTGTTTCGGTTTGAAGGGTGGGATATGGCGTGAATTTACAGGGTACAGAGGAATAACATCTGAGTGCTCAGGAACGGCAACGTATGGGGGGTATCATGGGCGAAACAGTACACTCTGTTATGTCCATGGTACTGCTCATGTCTATAGGCGACGGTTACCACTTACCATCAGGTGGGCCGTCAGCTGGTTTGCAATTCTAAGTTGCATAAAAAAAACTGTAAATTGCTGAACATAAGTCTCTCCCTAGGGGGTTTTTATCAGTAATTACGTAGCTTGGCAGACGGATTGGCAACCGCAGTTAGGGTTTGGTTATGTTTTAGGAGGGACGCTGCTGCCCATTCTTTGCCCTCCCTTAGTTGCCTCTTATGACTTCCACAGGAAAGGAAGGGGTGGCCTATCCTATACCGAGACCACACGGCAACCAATGTAATCTTTTAAAGGAAACAATAAAGAATGTCTATCTGACTTATATACCACCAATATTTATAATTAGAATGAAAATTTATAACGAAAATCTAAATAACTCAATGATTAGCTGGTAGAGAATGTCATACGAAGTTCCGTTTGTACAAATTTTATTGTGCAGTAAAGATGAAATAAATAAACAAAACTTAAAGTTCAAAATAGGACTCTCGCTGGAATGCGACCTAAATAATTCTTCTGCAGCTATTAAGTAAAAAAAAAAAGGAAACGTTATTTTCTTCGGTTCCTAGAACAAATTAAATGTAAACACACGACCGTGCGTGATGTAACTGACAGACATGTTATATTAAATCGCCATTTTTTATATTAAATCTTTTAATGTTTCAGTATGAATTATGTACAGTAAAAAATTATAATACAATACATGATATTGTCACAAACCAAGTGGATGTGCTTCAGAGTTCCAATATAGAACGGGTCGCCGCTTCCTTTCCCGTGAGTGTCGTAAAAGGCAACTAAAGGCACTTAGTGCTTGTGGAATGGGCAGCAGCCAGTCCCTTTTTAAAATATTATCAAAGATAAATAATAAAAATATTATGTAATACTCCAATAAATCTAAATGGATATTGAGAAAAATCTCGAAACGTACAATAGTATGCTATGCCAAACAAAAGTTCCGAATTGTCATTTAATTTCAACCTACCCTTAATTTAGATTTCCCCAATTATGCAGTACATATATTTTTAAATACATCAATAACACTGAGCCAATCTAGCAGTCGCAATGCCAAATGACTATATCTGTAGGCAAAGAGCATATTTTTTTTAAAAGGCCGGCAGCACACCTGCAATGCCGTAGGTGTTGTGGGTGATCATGGGCGGCGGTAGTCACTTACCATCAGATGAGCCGCATGCTCGTTTGCCTCCTGTGTTGTAAAAAAAAGGTGTCCCTGAAGAACTGTCAGACTTTCAGATATTCCTTATGAGGCCGCCATAGTCACCCAGGTGTACTGGTCTCAACAAAATTAGAATTAATAGACTCATACTCAAGTTTGGGACGTTAAAATTAAATGTTATTATTGCTATTTAACAAACAAATAAAAAAAGCTTCCCATTTTGAAGCCGCTTTAAAAAAGCACTCCAAAGCTACCACTTAAAATACACAACAAGAAATACAATCAAATTCAAAAACACGTTCCTAAATCTGCTGAAAATGTCAAATGCTACTCAGAAGACAAAAGGCAAACAAGGCGTTATGATGTTGAAGAGCTTACACGCTCATGTTGAGAGACCGTGTGTTCTCTCGTTACTGGAGACTTAAGAGGGCAGTAATGAATTTGACGAGAGCTCACCAGCTACATTCCTTGGAGGGCACTCTATTAGGAGCAATGTTACGTACTAAAGGGTACTAAGACAAGTGGAGGTGTTGATTAAATAAAATTGTTGTTCTGTTCACGGAGTTCTTGGAAAGTGTTAATTGAAGATTTTCAAAATGGTGTCTATTTATAAAATGGGAAAGATGTCGATTTATGAGAATTTGCGACTTAAGATTATTTATAGATGCTCGAACACTATTTCTGTCTATGTTATGGCTATTGTACATATAATACTAATATTTTATTTATTTTCATATTTATGTTTTCATTATCAAAATGCTTAGTATTTTATTTTAATTGTATATTTTCATATTATGTTTTATTTATTTTTCATTGTTTAACCATTATTTATACTGCTTTTCGTTATTACTATCTCATTATTTTTTTAAGGAATTCTAATTAATTCTGCTACCATCAGTATTTTGACGACTTTCAACTTTTGAGGTTTCACTACTATTATTATTAACAAAAGTTCTACAACGTACTTTATAACTCATCAATCTCCAACCGTCATTCAGTCCACGCACATGTTGTGTGTCCGTGTCTTAGCTCTAAACAAAGCATTTCACACAAATTAATAGATCGAGTCTTTCGCAGTCTGGGCGCTAAATGGTCAACGCTAGGCTCCAAGCAGAGACCCATTAATTGGCTGAAGATGTCTCGTTTAGAGGTGAAACACGTGTGGCAAAACTGAATAACAGTCAGAGATTAGCTAATTTAGGGAATAGAATTTAGAATACCCCAAACTTAGCTCGAAAATTATATTTATTTAAAGTTTTATTAAACTACTACAATATGAACCATTGATAATTCAATATAAAGCAATTCAGACGTAATTCCACTAAAACTTAGTTTACACTTGTCCTTAGAATTATCACTTCACAATAATATCAATTTAAAATTTTAATTTTAAAAATAGAAAATGGTGGTTTAGTATCGATTCCGATCTGTTTTTAGAAAGCGGTTTATCTTCCAAATAAATACATTTAAGAAAGGTCCGATAGCTACTTGAAAATCGCTGAACGACAAGTTAAACATCTCCCTAACGGCACAAGTTGTTAGGTAATTCCCAAAGGAGATTTAATCCCACCAAGCTATCGATAGGCGAGCTTACTCTTATTTTTAGCAATATAAAATTTTGTAAATTGTAAATCTTAATCCTTTATCTCTCTTTTATTATATAGATATTGGAGGTCCTAAAAAGTCTATTTACCTGGAATTTCTTATTTGTTTACTCTTTATTTCTCAATAAAACTTTCTACAAGTGGTAAGTTTAATGACTTTATATAATGCCATTCTCTACCAGCTAATTGTTGTTATCTTTGATTAAATTGTTTTTATCTTTTTTTTTTTTTTATACAACTTAGAATGGCAAACAAACCCACCTTGGGGGAAATGGATTGTGAGTAATGGGGTCTTATTAACTCGTTGCTAGCAATATACCCTATCAGGTCGACCTCCACGCGGTTCCCCCTGGAAACTATCGTGGTTAATTCTAGTGGAATTCGTCACGATGGGCTAACTGACCTGCTTTCATCCTCATCTATCATCGCTCACTGGTGCCCCGCCAGTGTATACCGATAGCGCAGGCGGGGTCATTCCATTATCACCTATTAAAAATAACTACTATGTACTATGAACATATTAGAGTATACTGTGTCGGTCGTGATACATTTATTTTGACTTAAAAACTAAATAACTGAATTTATTTTGATATAATTT